AGCACCATGATAGATGGAGAAGAAATTGAAGTTGCTAACAATTTCAGCTTTCTTATCTCCACAATCAACACTCTTGGCACCAGCAGTGAGGAAATCAAATGATGAATTGCATTGGGGAAGTGTGCTGTCAGGGACCTTTCCAAAGTGCAAGCAAGATTCTACTGAAGATTATCCAAAAACAACTGGAACAGTACATCAGCAGAGAACTGCCAGAAGTCCAGGCTAGGTTTAGAAGGGGTCGTGGTACTAGGGATATTGTAGCTGATGTTAGATGGATCTTAGCTGAAAGCAGAGAATACCAGAAGAATGTCTGTGTTTCATTGATTATGCAAAGGCATTTGACTGCATGGATCATAACAAACTGTGGCTGACTCTGAGAAGAATGGGAATCCCAGAACATTTAATCATGCTAATGCAAAACCTATACTTGGACCAAGAGGCAGTCATCAGAACAGAGCAGGGCAACACTGCCTGGTTCAAAATTGGGAAGGGTGTACGCCAGGGATGTGTCCTACCTCCATACCTTTTCAACCTGTATGCAGAGCAGATTATCCGAGAGGCTGGGCTCTATGAGGAGAAGTGTGGCATTAGGATTGGTGGAAGATCTATAAACAATCTGCATTATGCAGATGACACAACTTTGCTCGCTGAAACTGAGGAGGACCTCATGCACTTACTGAAGAGGGTCAAGGACTGCAGCCTTCAATATGCACTGAGGCTCAATGTCAAGAAGACAAAAATTCTCACCACTGGACCAATCGGTAGCATCAGGATGGATGGCGAAGAGATTGAGATTGTTCACAGCTTCAGTTTGCTCGGCTCCATGGTCAACACTCTTGGCACCAGTAGGCAGGAAATAAAAAAACGTATTGCGATGGGAAAGTCTGCGGTTAGGGACCTCTCTAAAGTACTCAAGAGCAACGATGTCTCTCTGGAGACTAAGGTCCGCCTGATACAGGCCATGGTTTTTGCAATCACTTGTTATGCATCAGAGAGTTGGACAATGACTAGGGAGGATAGAAGGAGAATTGATGCCTTTGAGCTGTGGTGCTGGAGAAGAGTATTGAATGTACCATGGACTGCCAAGAAAACAAACAGATTCATCGTAGAGAGGATTAAACCAGGCTGCCCCTTGGATGCAAGGATTCTGGGGCGTCTGACATACTTTGGACATGTTGTAAGGAGAGACAGGTCTTTAGAGAGGGACATCATGCTGGGTAGAGTGGAGGGACAGCACAGGAGGGGAAGACCCTCTATGAGGTGGATTGATTCAGTGACTGGGGTAATCGGGATGGGTTTGTCAGAGGCAATGAGATAAGCACAGGATAGGACACGGTTTAGGGCTGTTGTACATAGGGTCGCTATGAGTCGCAAATGACTCGATGGCACATAACAACAGCAAAGAGCAATGATTTCAGCCTAGAGACTAAGGTGCTTCTGATCCAGGCCATAATCTTTGCAATTACATGCTATGCATCAGAGAGTGGGACAAGATTAAGGATGATAGAAGAATCAATGTCTTTGAGTTGTGGTGCTGGATGAAAGTATTGAACATACCACGGATAAACAATCAGGTCTACCTTGGAGAAGGTGAAATCAAGTTTCTCCTAGGAGGCAAGGATTTTGAAGCTCTATCTCACATACTTTGGGCACAAAACTAGAAGGGACCTCATTCTTGGAAAGGTGGAGGGACAGTGCAGGAGAGGTATACCCCGGGTGAGATGGATTGATACAGTCACTAGGTCATGGGGGTAAGTGTGTTAGTCAGCGAGACAGGCTCAGGATAGAGCAGGGTTCAGAGCTATTGTGTATAAGGTCACTATATGTCACAGGCGACTTGATGGTACAACAATAAAACAACTCTTTAGTACTTCATAATCTTGTGGGGAATATGGAGTCATCTCATCTGCCACTCAATCACTATGACTGACACAGTGACTGCTCAATGGGCTCAAACGTGTCAGAGATGATGAGGATGGATCAGGATGGAACTGGGTTCAGATCAGTTGTTCATCGGGTCACTGGGAGTCATACTTGAGGGCACCTAGCAACAATGACAGTACATCTGCCAATAATGTAATGTTAATGTATTTACTGTTTCATAAGTATTTATGTCTGTAATGGTTCACTGCTAGAAATTCCTATTTGCACTGATTTCATGATTTGCCAAGGAGCCAATTCTAAAATATTTAAACTGTTCACAAATTAAAAAGTATACATATTTTTTAACTTTAAAAAAATTTATTATGTTTTGTTTGTGCTGTCAAATAAGATCTGACTGGTACAGAAGGAAATTGCCTCTCCTTCTCCAGCACAGCATCTGGTGGATTCGAACAGCGTACCACTGGGATTGCAGTGCAGCTTCTTGCCACTAGGCCACTAGAGCTCCCCCCCAAAAGTATATATATTTTAAAAGTATGGAGACTTAATAGTTCTTAGATCCTCATATTTAATAGATTGAGCTCACTGTCTATTGAACAAAATCTGATGTTTTAGTGGCATTGTACTATAATAAGGTCTTATAACATTATAAAATAGTACTGTGCTATGGAAGTAAAGGGGCAGGTGGACAGAGAAGCAGTTACAGCATGTGATGATAAACCTGGATAAAGGTACCCCCCCCCCCGGAGATGTAGCCATTTTCAGGGGCCTTAATGATCTCAATTATCCTTAAGGCTAGTAACATGGCTTTAATATTACCAGCTTTCAAAACATTTCTGCAAAATCATACTAAAGGTAACTTTTCAAACAGTGATGCAATTAGGAATCATATGAAGGAATAATCAGATTATCACAAAAATGCTAAAAAAGATTATACTGTAGTTTGTCTTGGAACAATTTTTTCTTTAGAAAGAGAACTGACTGTATAATAATGAAAAGTGGGGATTTTATAATTTGACTCAGTCAAACTTTTAATTCTCAAGATTTTTTAACTTTAGTAAATAAAATCACTGTAATAGAAATAAATTTTTCTTTGCCATTAACAGTTCATATAAATTAAGTAGTAAAATATTCAGTCATTCTACTATACTATTGTTAAAGTTTTTGAGCTTTTCCATAACATAACTCTTTCTAATTATATAGTTCAACTTTTCCAACAACTGCAATTGGAAGAATATTTATTTACATATAATGGGAGGTGAAGATTGTCTCCTCTCCCGAGTTAACCAAATTGCCAGTCCAAGAAAATCACCAACTGTTTTAGAATATTATACTGCAGAGAAGTGATACCCCCATTACCCAATCCTCTGGTGTCCTCTGGTAGCATTTCTTTTGACAAAAGTTCTCCAGATAAATTATATTTTCCTTTTTAGCAAATTGCAATTTTAACCTTGTCAAAATAATGCAAGGAAGTGCCATAAAATGGAATGTAATCACCAGTATCTGTTCTTAAGCTGATTTTTCTGTGTAAGAATCAGGGATTTTTGATTGTTTTCATTTTTTCTGTTTCAGTTTGGGTTCTACCCTCAGTGAGTTCCTTCACTGAGTGTATTATCTCTCAGGATTCTTCTCCCTTTTAAGCCCCTTTCTTGCTATTCATGTGCTTCTTGGTAGACCGTTAATGTTTCTAATATCTGCTTCATTTCACAGCTCTTCTCTCTTGTATTAGAGACAGAAATGACATTGGTTTTCTCCATCTCTGATCATTTACTTGTACTATGCTTGGGAGGGTGGAGGGACAGCACAGGAGGGGAAGACCCTCTATGAAGTGGATTGATTCAGTGACAGGGGTAATCTGGGTCAGCGTGTCAGAGACAAGATTGACACAGGACAGAGCAGGGTTTAGGGCTGTTGTACATAGGGTCGCTATATGAGTCACAAGCGACTTGACGGCACATAACAATCACAGAGCCCAGTTAAGGGAGCTCTGGTAGCCTAATCCTTAAGGAGATGTGCTGCTGACCCAAAGGATAAGCCTCTCCCGAGGTTCAAATCCACCAGTGGGTCCACAAGAGAACAATGTAAAGTTTTCTCCTATTGTGATTTATAGCCTCAGAAACCTGACAGAGCTATAACTATAACTTACCCTCTTAGTTAGAACTGGCTTTACAACAGGGAGTAGGGTCCGGTTTAAATATTTCTCTATGGCTATTTTGAATTTTGTGAAAATAAGCCCATTTGCATATATACATAAGAGCACACATAAAAGATATACATTAAAAAAAAAAGATATACATTCAATAACATGATCTATTCCACTCCTGCTTCTGGTTTTGTAAGGCACAGAAAGAAATCAGTAACCGGTCAGTAGTAGAAGTTAGGTGGTCTATGTTTTCACCCTGTCCCCTTCATCCTCTCCTTGTTGGTCTGAGAAACAGGAGGTACATGACATTGTAAACATCACTTTTATTTCTGTTTTCCCCTCCCTGACCCTCCAAAATGAAAAGCAAACCCCACCACCTTCTTAGAAAAGGCAGTTCGGTAGTCTAGCTGTGGAAAAGTATCTTAACAAGGAATGGCTCCAGGTTATTAGAGATCAGAATCCACCATAATCCAGATTGGGTTAAAAATTTCCTGAAAGACTCTGGATATTGGTGCTGTGACAGTTTTCTTAAAGAGGCGAGTGATAAACCCTGCTCTTGAGCCAAGCCACTTGGGACTCCTGAGGTTTAGCTGAGTCTACAGTGCACCTTTCTTGAAGACTGGCTGGTTGGCAGGAACTAGAATAAAGGGTAGAACTTGGTCCAAATTCCCGTAAGTCAACTCTGCCAGCACTTGGCATCCTTCTAGGTAGTAAGTTTCAGAGGAAATGATGAGCTGTGCAGGCCATGTGAGGGTCTTCTTATACTTTCAGGGTAATTCTAATATCTCTACTAACTCTGACATTATCAGGAGCACAAAAAAAAAAATAAAAAATCAATCTGGACAAATGAAAAGTATTTAGAAGAAGCTGGCAGTGTACTGGACTTTGGACACCAATCAAGCAAGGCTGGAAGGTTTTGGCTCTTCTGGCCACCTAGGTGAATGCTGAGTCATCTGCCTTTAGGTGCCTGCACCTGTCAATCCAACGGGATGCCCAGCAGGTCACAGCTGACATCCCACAGCCGCCGAGCTACTGTCTCATTTCGAGCGCGAGGAGAGACACATGCCACCTGGCAGTCACTGGAAGAGAAAAAGAAAGGCTTATGTTGTTAAGTGTTAAGGACAGAGTTTACTCTGTGCCTGGGATAAAGATTGTGACAGAAGACTTGCCCAAGGATGACACATCCTCTAGATACTTCACAGGACTGTATTTGTCCTCCTTTTCAGAGCTGCAATTCCACTTAAAATTTCCTGAATGATAGCCCTCTTACTCACTTTTGTATTTCTTGAATCTAGTACAAGTATTCAGTGAAGGGTGTTTGTTTTGCTTTAATAACTGAGTGAATAGTCACTATCTATGAAGTCATGTAAGAAGACTTTAAAAAATTATACCATTTTAGGGGAGCTCTGGTGGCCTAGTGGTAAGGAGCTGCAACTACAATCCCAGAGGTGCACGGTTTGAATCCACCAGATGCTCTGCCGGGGAAGGAGGGGCAATCTCCTCCTGTACCAGTCAGATCTGATTTGACGGTACACGCACACAAAAATAATAAAATTTAAAAAAGGAAAAAAAGAAAATGGTGTCGTGAACATTTTAAGCAAATTCTGAAGGAGAAAAGAGAGTTGAAGAGTCTGAATCACACAAAGCAAACTTTAACACTCTGTGCAGGAAAGCATTGCTTCCCAAAGTACAGGCGAAGGACCAGCAGCAGGAATACTATCTGGGATCTTGGTAGAAATGCAAATTTTCAGGCCTCACTCCAATCATACTGAATCAGAATATCTAGGGTTGAAGTCCAGGAACCTGTGTTTTAGTAAGATTTCAATTTCAGTCAAACAAAAGACAAATCTTTAAGGTGATCTTGAATCTATCCCACCTTAATTTAGAAATCATCTTAAGGAATAGGTTTGGAGTACTGAACTCCAGTGATCGAAGACTAGATCAGTTGTGGGATGAGATTAGGAATGTCATCTATGAAGAGAGCAAGAGCTCACTAAAAAGATAGGTAAGAAAAAATAAACCAAAATGGATGTCAGAAGAGACCCTGAAAATTGCACAGGAGCATCCAGAAGCCAAAACAAAGGGAAGAGACGCTGAAATAAAAGACCTGACCTTAAGATGTCAAAGGGAAGCTTGGGAAGACAAAACAAACTTGTTGTGTACCACTGAGTTGGAACCGACCCATGGCTGACTCTCTGGCAGGTTTTCAGAGGCAGTTAGTCACATAGGAGGAAATTGCCCATTCTTCTGCAGATCACCTGGTGGACTCAGATACACGTCTTTGGGATTGCAGCATAGCTTCTTGCCACTAGACCACCAGAGTTCCCTATAATGGGATGTGCAGAGATCTAGAATTGGAGAATAAAAAAGGAAGAACTTGCTCAGCATTTCTCAAGCTGAAAGAACTGAAAAACAAATTCAAGCCTCAAGTTGCAATACTTAGGAATGCAATGGGCAAAATCTTGAACGATCCAGGAAACATCAAAAGGAGATGGAGGGAATACACAGAGTCACTGTACCAAAAGAATTGGCTGACACTGAATATTTCAGGAAGAAACACTGAGGCTCCAAACACAGCCAGAGTCTGGGTTTTTATCTTTTTCCCTCCTAACTCAGTGTCAGGAATCCCACAGATTAGCATAGGACAGGATCTAAGACCATCTTTTACTCTTGATCAGATAATGTCCAGTCTCCCAGAATTTCATAGGTTTCATTAACAATATTGGTTATTTCTATAAGGGAAGTGTCTTTCATCTGCTCCTTTTTGGTAAAATGCTTGTCTGTCAGATACTGTTGTAAAACTAAGCATCCAAATTAAGACAGACTAGGACGAAAGTTATACAGGTGTCCAGGACTTTCATTCATAGGGTCGCTATGAGTCGCCTACGATTCAACGGCACTTAACAATAACAACAACAACAACAACAGCAAGAAGAATGGGCCATCCACTTCTGAAGTATATCAGGCCTTCAAAAACCCTATGTACAGTAGAGAACATTTAGAGTAGACTAACAGATATGGCAACTGAGGCTGAGCCCTCAAATTTGGAAACACAAAAGAGGAGGAACAGTTGTAAGCAGAACTAATTAACTGGGGCAATGGGGATTGATGCATTGGAATCGGTGAGACTGGTTCAAGACAAGGTAGGCTTCAGAGCTGATGTTCATAGGGTCACAGGCGACTCGATAGCACATAATAACAACCACCATGATCAAGAGCCAATGACAATGAAGGAAGAAATTCAACCTGCATTGAAGGCATTGACCAAAAAGTTAGGCCTCAGGAATCAATGAGAAACCAATTGATATGGTTCAAATGACAGATGCAATCCTGGATGTGCTCACGAGTCTATGCCAGGAAATTTGGAAAACAGCTGCCTGGCTGACTGACTGAAAAGAGGCCTGTATTTGCTCCCATTCCCAAGGAAGGTGATCCAACAGAATGTGGAAATTATAGAACAAACTAATATCACATGCAAGCAAAATACTCAATACTGCTGAAGATGATTAAAAAAAATGGATAGAACAGTACATAGTCAGGGAACCATCAGAAGTTCAAGCAGGATTTAGAAGAGGCTGTGAGTGTGTCAGAGATTGTGATAGGGCTGCTATGAGTTGTATTCAACTTGATGGCACCTAATAACCACTATATAAAGTGATCAATAATACCAAGGAGGACGTGCGCCTTGGAAAAATCAACCATATGAGATTAAAATGGTAGCATTTGCCAGGGATAAGGTTGAAAAAAAGAGAGCTGGCAGTATAGTCTATAGTGAGTTAAGCTGACAATTATAAAGGCTGCGCATCGCCAGTGGTTCAAATCTGCTATCAGATGCAAGGGAGAAACATGGGCAGTCTCCTCCTGTTAAGATTTATAGCCCCAGAAACCTGATAGAAGGTCACTGTAAATCAGAATTGACTTGATGGCTGTGATTTGAAAATCCAGCAGGCAGAAAGGGAAGGAAAGAAAAGATGGAAACAGGAAACATATGGAAGAAATACTTGGAAAGAGTGCTGTTATCAAATCACAATAAACAGTTAAGTAGAAAAAAAGGCATACACAGAGAGCATGCAAGCAGTTGAGCAGTATGCAAAAATGTTAACAATGGGTGAGCTCTGGTGGCCTAGTGGCAAGAAGCTGCAACTGCAATCTCAGAGATGCACAGTTCGAATCCACCAGATGCTCTGCTGGAGGAGGAACAATCTCCTCCTGTACCAGTCAGATCTGATTTGACAGTACACACAAAAATAATGAAATAAAATAAATTTTAAAAAACAAAAAAAAAATGTTAACAATGGCATTATTTGTGTTAAAAAAAAGTAGAAAGTTCTCAAAACCTATACACAGCTATAGTATTCAAAACAGCTTTGTAGTGGTTCAATTAAAGACCCATAGGCAATGGAATAGAACCGAGAACCTAGAAATTAATTAATCTTCTATGGTCAATTGGTATTTGACAAGGAAGTAAAACCTATTAAGTGAGGAAACAATAACCTCTCTAACAAATGATGCTGGCAAAATTGGATATCTACCTGCAGAAACCCTCCAGCGCAGGAGGGGAAGGCCCTCTATAAGGTGGATTGATTCAGTGACTGGGGTAATCGGGATGTGTCTATCAGAGACTGTGCGATTGGCACAGGACAGAGCAGAGTTTAGGGCTGTTGTACATAGGGTAGCTATGAGTCGCAAACGACTCAATGGCACATAACAACAACAATACCTGCAGAAACACGAAATAAGATCCACATTTCATACTATACACAAAAGTCAACTCAAGGTGAATCATAGACATAGGGTAAAGGCCAGGAGCATAAGGACCATAAGACACAAAATGGAACCAAACGTGGAAAAGCTCCAGCCTACAACATAAATAGGCTAAATAAAGAAATATTCTGGCAAATAAAGCCAGAAATGCACAACTAGGAGAGAATAAAATCGATGATTAGGACTTTCTAAAAATTAAGTCGCTATGTGCATCAATAACTATTTTTAAAAAAATAATTTTAATGAGCAGCTGCACTTCTCTCCTCGCCCCCCCCACCCCAACCCGTTCGCTCCTCTCTTTCAAAAGTAAAAGAAACACTTCTTCCCTGGTACACAATCCCCCCGCACCCCTCCCACCACCCCAAGTACATTCCACTATGCAACCTTAATTGTGGACTCCTGTGATAACCATAAGACCCTATCATACATCGCTTTTAAATTATTCACTCCCTCATCTGTTTCAGTGAAGTATACAAAATTTACCCAGTTTTTCTCAGTCTTACCCCAACCCTGATATCAGTCTCATTTTGCAACAGTGGCTCCTTTTGCATCTGAGATATTTCACTCAGCATAATGTCCTCCAGGCTCACCCATTTTGAATAATATTGCATGAGTTCCTCGTTTTTCTTTTTCTTTTTTTGAGTTCCTTGTTTTTCAATGCAGCATAGTATTCCATTGTGTGAATATACCACAGCTTCTCTATCCATTCGTTTGTTGATGGGCACCTGGGTTGTTTCCAACTCCTTGCTATTGTGAACAGAGCTACGATAAACATGGGTGTGCATATATCTGCTTGGATGTCAGTTATGGTCTCTTTGGGATATATTCCCAGTAGTGGAATTGCTGGGTCAAACGGTATCTCTACTTGCAACTTTTTGAGAAAGCACCATACAGCCTTCCACAGTGGTTGCACCAAATAACTTTTTCTAATAGGGTGAAAAGAAAACCTACAGACTGGGAAAATAGCATTTGGCAATGACATCTCAGACAAGAGTCTCACAAGGAAAGTTTACAGAATACTACGGGCCTCCACAAGGAAAAGATAATAACCCAATAACAAAATGGGCAAAAGACATTATAAGACTTTCACAGAGGATAATATTCAGATGGCCAGCAGACACATGAAGAAATGCTCAAAGTCACTGGCAGTCAGAGAGATGCAAATCAATACAACCATGAGTTACCATCTCACCACGGTTGCAAAAGCAAAGTTTACCAAGACAGCAAGCAATAAATTTTGGAGAGGATGTGGAGAGATTAGAACTCTCATGGACTGTTGCTGGTGGGATCATAAAATGGTACAACTACACTGGAAGGCAGTCTGGTGTTTCCTCAAAGAGTTGAACATTGGGGGTAGGGTGGACGGGGAGAAAAGTGCAACAATGAATGAATGGAAATCCAAAATATTTGTAAATGTTCATTGAAATTAATTAAAAAAGAATAAAGTTGAACATAAAAAATCCATATGACCTACCTATTCCACAGATAGGAAATAAAAACTAAGATATGAACAGAGATTTGTACACCTATGTTCATAGCAGCACTATTCACAATAATAAGAAAATGGAAACAACACAGATGTCTAGCAACAAATGAATTGATTGAGAGACTGTAGTATGGTATGTTCACATAATGTACTATTATGCAGCACTAAGGAACAACAATTTCATAAAATTCTGTATAACATAAGAGAGTCTAGAAAGCATTATGCTGAGTGAACTAAGTCAGTCTCATAAAGACAAATACTGTATTTGTCCATTATTGTATAAAGAGAAGGATACAGACATGATGACTGGTTATCTGAGAAACTAATGAAATCTCTAGAAAACTTCTGTAGATAGTCATGTTATGATCTAGGTAGATTTAAAAAGAAAAAAGAAGGTTGACTAGTAAAATATGAATAAATACTCAAAAGGGTTAAGGGAATGGGTAGAAATCATTAGGTTAACAGAAGTTAGTGGGCAGATAGGGGGGTAAAGGAATAGGAAAGATTCAATGGGGACTCGAAAAGATGGGGTAGTAGAGGCATAGATCAACAGTAATGAATTATATAAAATATAATGTATATACATGTATGGAAGGAGGAGTGGCATCCACTTCCATAATAGCTTGCTTCCGGAAATCCTATGAACCTGGAGAGAGAATGAAAGGCACCCAAGCGTCGAGGACTCCTTTATAGGGTCGCTATGAGTTGCCTACGACTTGAAGGCACTTAACAACAACAATATACATATATGAAACAATGTAAATGAAAGATTGTGAAAACACAGTGTACATGAATGAAACAATATGTAAACAAATTATTGTATGCAAACTAATTTTTTAAAAATGGTACATAAAATGGACTATAATCCAGCTATACTGCTGTTGTTGTGTATGGCAGAGTTGGAACCGACCCATAGCTGACCCTCCAACGAGTTTTAAGAGGCACTTAATCACACAGGAGGAGATCGTCCATCCTTCTCCCATAGAGCAGCTGGTGGCCTCGAACTGCATGCCTTTGGGAATGAAGCATAGCTTCTTGCCAGGAGGCCACCAGAGATATTCACAAGTCTCCACAAATGCTATTTTAAGTCCTCTTTTAGTCAAGCATAGGTACTATTTTAGTGCTGAAGGCAGGTAATAGACAACTACAGATTAAAATTCTTTTTAATGTAATAAACAACATGCCTCTGGAAACTATGCACTTAGTGGAAACTATGATCGTTATAGAACAGGGTTCAGGGCTTTTGATCATGGAGTTGCTATGAGTCATGTCGACTTGCTGGCATTTAACAACAACAATAAAATAGAAAAACCCATAAAGAAACAATAACAACTGAATTTATATCATAGAAAAAAAAACAACAAAAAAGTAGTATCAGTATGAAAAAAAAAAATGAAAGCTAGCAGTTACCATAGAAAATATGAGTGAGTTAAACAAAAAGGTAAAGACCCTAGAGTCAAGAGATAAAAGATGTTACTAGACCATTTAGTTTTTCAGGAGGGAATAAAATAGTATACTAGATAAAATCAGAGGATGGGCAATAAAATCTCATTTTTTAAAAGGATATGCTCATACCTAAAATGCTTCCCATTCAGACTCTCAAGGCCTTCTGTTAAAGCACAGAACAGGCTTGTCTGGGCTCCCTGCTCAGGAGTCTTCAAAAAGGAGGAGAAAAGCCGACCAAGCCACTTCATGATAAGCGAGTATCGAGTCAATTCAGAGTTGACTGTGCCAGGATGTACAGAGTATGTGGTAACATTAGTGCCTGGTGGGGAAAGGGGATCAAGGAAACTTAAGAAGATAGGATCTGACATTGCCGGCCAGACACAGAGAGCAGACGACATGAACAAACACATGACCTCCCACATGTGGATTTCCCACCCATAGTGGTATCATAAACACTCCTTAAGTTATATAAGCCCCCATTTCACAGATTAGAAAATTGAGGTTCAGAGATGTTGACAACTCTGTTAGAAAGCAGCAGAGCCAGGACTTGACATCTCCTCTTAGAACCATTTCTTCTTCCACGGCCCTTCAGCTCCTCTGGTTTTTCTCATCATTCTAAAACTCAAGCTGCTATGTCTCAGTTTCTCGGACCAGCTCATCATTATCTACCTAAACTTTAAATACTGGGAGTCCTCAGGTTCCAAAATTTCTATTTATACCTTTTTTTACAGCCTTCACATATTTACAGTGCAAATTTATCCTTTAACCCTAGACTCACTATGAGGCAGAATAATGTGGTGGCGTAGTCATTTACGGCATGGATTTTGTAATCAGGCTGAGTGGCAGCTTAAAATTCTGGTTCTAGCACCCAAAGGAAGGCCTCTCCCACTTTATGGAAAGGCTTCTACCAATCATTGGAAGGCCAAACCTCTTCCTTCTATGCAATCTCATCATGAGGAAGATCTTCTCATGAGACCAGATTGTATCACAACAATCATCTGTGCGATATAATCCAGTTATATATATAAAGAAATCAATCTTGAAAGAGAAGTCATTTTCTATAGGTTGCACGGTGTGTAACCTATAGGTAAAGGCAGGCCTTTAGACTCAGTCTGAATCTGTCCATCTCTTGCAGCCTACTTCCAATCTTCAGTTACAAAAAACAGGCCCAGCTGTAACTGTGGCAGCAGGCCCTTTCTAGATGTTGGGGTCTGGAAGAATTTTCTATCCCTTTTCTATACCCAATGACTCATATCTCCACACTCATTTCTTCCAAGTTCACCTTTTAGCCTCCGGGCTAGTTCCTGAGTGAAGAGAATGTTGGCCAACTTGCTGTGACAGTATGCCAGGCCAGCACTGTAGAACTTCTCGCCCTGAAGATTATGGAAGTTGATCCTTCCCAGGTGATGTGCCAAGGAAGACACATTTATTATCCTTGATGGGGCTGATTCCTTCAATTTCTCTAGCAGTAAGTGGGTCAGGAGGAAGTGACCTGTAGGGGAAAAAAAACTAAAACTAACAGAGTTCAGGATCAATGTGCATGGAGTGGGGGTATGCAGGAGGACTTGGTAATGGAATAAAGTTTTTATCTCAATGTTTTATTATCAACCAAATATAGTGGAAGCTTAGGGAAATAGGAATAACACTGTTTTCTTAGCATCTGAAGGCCCAGTGTCCCTTGGGGAACTCTGTGTGTCTTGGCCTTCCCTGGTGACAGAGTGCTTCCTTTGCCCAACCCTGACTCCAAAAGGATGCTTCATTCCTGATGACTCTTTATGGGTGACATCAAGGTCCCCTCTCTCAGTTCCCTTTTATCTCTAGTAAGATAAAAGATGTTATAGGCCTCACCCTTGGGACATTTCCCTTACACTAGTCAGGGCTGTGATGGAATTAAGAGGTGTCATGAAGTTGGAACAGACTCACAGGTCACTTTACAGTAGGTTTTCAGAGGCAGTAAATCTCACAGGAGATTATCCATCTTTCTCCCTCAGAAGTGGATCACAGTGGGTCACCAGAGATCAAAGGATGCTGTGTTCTACCTTTAATCCTTTGACAACTATTTGATTTATCGTATCATAGGTTATCATTACATAGTTTTCACATTACATCATTACTTGCATGTCTTGGGAAGTGAGAGGGACACAATTCAATCCATAGCATACAGGTAGATCTATAGTACGTGAAAGCTAAAGTCTGATTTAATTCCAACTTTGATTAACATCACATTTTAAGAGCAGGAGGACTTTATATATTACTGTCCACAGGATAGCTATTAACAAAGGAAATATAGACCAATCCAATCAGACTGTTTGAAAATGTGAATCAGAATGGAATCAGAAATCACAGATGGGAAAGGATGCAGGATTTTAAGCAGTCCTCAAGTCTATCCCTTAGCTTTTTGGCAGGAGCATACTGTTATTCAGATAGTCTACTATGACCCCGAGATCCAATGTCATCACACACAGAAATCTCAATTAGGTTTACCAAGAACTTCAGGTTCCCTCCAGCTCTCTGATGAGGCCCTATTTCTTACCTAAGTGGTTGACTCCCATGTGCATTTCAAAACCATCCACTGTCTTAGAGTAGGGACACATCATCACTCCTGCGTTGTTGACCAAAATGTGAAGCTGCTTTTCTTCTGCAGGGAAGAGAAGACAGAGGTAGAAGTGGCCAGCCACAGTTACTCCATCTTAGAAGTTTACCCTGCAGTCAGACTTTCAAAACAGGGATGAAGACTTCACTCTTTCCTCCATTTTTCCTTTGTGTTATTTTTCATCTTGAGACATTGGTAAATTTTATATACATACTTTTACAGCAGGACAAAATTCCACCTTATACGACCAACTGGGTTTCTCAATTAATAGTCTAATTTGAGAGTTAATCACTCTTTCTGTGAAGTGTCCAAAGGCAGAGAAAAAGGGACAGATGTCTGTATGCAAACACTGCCACTGGGGGGCAGGTCTACTCTCATTTCCAAATACTAGTCTTGCCTCTTTTTTGCATCTGCTGACTCTCAGGTTGATGTCTTCATGTGGTGTGTAATTTATGACTACAAGTTCCCATTAGTGAAGATTGTTTTTCTTGGGAGGTCTGGCTTCCTGGGTTATGAAAAATATGATCAAAGAGCACTCTCAAATACACTACTATCCTGATATTATATTTTTACGCTAATTTATCAATTCAAGATTCTCATAGTTGATGGTGGGAATTCAGACCCCATACCTGATGCGAGCTTGAGACTCCATCTTGCAGATGACCTTTAACCTAACTACTCTAAGGAAATAGTGAGCTTTTTTTGTCATGTCCCTGAGCTGTTGAATAGTTTTTTTCCCCCCTTTATCTCAGGAACCAGGCCCTTTGTGAATTCTGGCTTGAGGTAGAACCTTGCCAGCTCTCAATGGTCTGAGGCCTCATCTTTGTCCTAGTGTGGATGTTTAAACCACAGGTATCAGTTCTGAAGGCCTGTTCTGCGTTCTGATACTGCTATGAGGTTTTTTGTTTCAGTTCTTGCTCTTTAAATTCTCTCATTTTGTATATTGGTTTTGTTCTTTTTTTAATTTCTTACTGTGTACCATCGAATAGGATTGGACTAGCACAGGAGGAGATTGCCCCTCCTTCTCCAGCAGAGCATCTGGTGGATTCAAGCCACGCACCTTCAGGATTGCAGTGCAGCTTCTTGCCACTAAGCCACCAGAACTCCCTATGCATATTGTATTTTTATTTATCACATATTTGTACAAGTGTGTGAATATGTATGTATGCATATAGAAACAAAAGATTTAATAGAAATTAATAATTTATGAAATAAAAGCATTATGAAGAATGTAGCCAGAATAAAGATAGTTTCACTACAAATGAGTTAAAAACAGATAAAATTGACTTAAAAGCTGACATTAACTTCTGAAAGAAGAGGTTGAAAAAATGATATAGTAATATCAACATCACCATTAATTCACAATTTAATCAGAAAAGACTGGTCTGATGGTAGTGGGTTATCAGGAACTATTAACATTAGTGCAAATAAAGCTGGTATACAACCCCCCACGGCTGAATTTCACTGGCTTTATTTAAAAAAAGGAAAAGATCAGAAAATAAAACAAAATAATTTTTAAAAAAGATTTTTAAAACCAAGGTTAGGAAGGAGTATCTAAAGCTTTAATTTCATTCTATTTAAAGATACGTTGTTGTTGTTGTTGTTGAGTACTGTCGGGTCGGAACCAACCCATAACAGACCCTCCAGAGGGTTTTCAGAGGCAGTTAATCGCACATCCTTCTCCTGCAGAACGGCTTGGTGGGCCTCCAACCGTGTGCCTTTGGGATTGCAGCAAAGCTTCTTGCCACTAAGCCCCCAGAACTCCCTTCTATAAAGGTATGGGGTGGGGGGAGGAAACAAATATAAAGAGATCTAGGGAGCTCTGGTGGTGGCCCAGTGTGTAAGGACTTGTGCTGCCAACCCCAAGGCAGATGGTTCAAATCTCCTCAAGAGAAGATGGGCAGTCTCCTTTGTGTGATTTACAGCCTCTGAAAATACACTGAGGGTCAGTTATGAGTTGGTTACAACTGACAGCAATAAGAACAAGGATATAAAGATATATACTTTTAACCCAAAGATAATTAATTTTAGTTGAATGATGAGGAAGACTGTCTGGCAAATCAAGGTAGCAAGTGACGCTACTTTTTAAAATAGATTTAATCATAAAATATAAGACGTTACCTAAAGGAATAACAGGTTTAAAAGCAAGAGGGCAATACATAACAAGTGCTTTGTTAATTCAAAGGACATAAAGAAGCTTTTGAAGTTTAGACAGTAAGGTAATCATAGTATGTAAGACCTCTTTGCCCTCACAAAATCGAAAAGCTTTCATGCATTCTCTCCAAACACACAGGGAGGAAAAAAACAAATGAAAAACGGTGAAACAGCTGGAGATAACTTGAAATTCTTTGACAGATTACAGTTAAACAAACGATAAACATACAGACCTTCAAAATACAAGAGCAAAGGCCTTGAACAATTTTCAATAAAGTGGCTAAGATAGATACAAAGATATCAGTCTTACCAGTAATGAAATAGCTGCAAAGTAAAGCAAGAGTGAAAGTCATTTTCCATCTATATACACAATTATTATTATTATTATTATTTTTAATTTTAACTTTTTATTTTATTTTATTATTTTTGTGGGAGTGTACTGTCAAATCAGATCTGACTGGTACAGGAGGAGATTGTCCCTCCTTCCCCGGC